AACAGTTCTCATTTTCCAGCCCTTCTGAATAAGACAGGCGAGGCTATCCGCTCTCATAAAACTGTTTGCAGTCTCCAGAACCGAAAGGGGCAATTCTGCTCGGTCTTACAGGGTTGCTTTGAGTCATAACCAGCTTGCAATGGCAGTGTGTTGGGTAGAAGCACAGAACAGAGGCTCTACTTCAGAGTTTCTCTAGGACTCATTGTAGGCATTGAAAGATGGCCTCATGTCCATGCTCTCCGCGAACTAGAACATCTCATTCATCCACTGTCACCATCGGCATCAGAAAAATACCTGGAACTTCCTAACCTCTTGGTATATCTAGCGAAGGAAGCAAACAATATCTGAGTCATCCCTTTGTTTCAAAGGTCACCTAGGGAAAGCTATCTGTTTGACCAACAATTCAGATTCTTTCTGTTTTCTTCTGAATAAATTACAAGCTATTGTGTACACCATGAATTGCCTCTCTAACAGTGAGAAGTATAGTGACTGGTGGAATCTGATGTTCACTACTTACCTCTGTGACTGTGGATTAAATGTCGCTTACATCTTCAACATACATGGCAGGAGAAGGGCGCGCCAAGGTAGAAGGGCTGACATGGCTCTTGAGGCTTCCACCTGGTCTCCTAAAGGGTTCCTATAGAGGCCTCAGGATATCAATTCAGTGTTACAGGGAGGACGAGGATGTAGCACAAAGCAGCAAAAGAAATGAGGAAAGCTGTGTTGTGGAGAGTCAGAAGAGCCTTTCACAGTGAAACAAACCAATTGCTTCAGAGTTGACTGTGATTCATGGCAACCCTGGGTGTGCTAGAGTACAACTGTGCTATGTAGAGTTGTCAGTGGCTGGATTTTCAGAAGTAAAATCCATGCTTTTCTCTGGAGGCACCTCTGGGTAGACTCAAACCTCCAATTTTCCCGTGAACAGCCGATCACATTGGCTGATTGCTTCACTCAAGGACTCCTTGAAAATGAGCAAGGATTTAACTTGTAATGGTCAAAAAGAAGGTGTACGCAGTCTCAGCATCCAAGTCTCAGCCCAGGGAGCAAAGCATTAATAAATATCTTTAAATGTACTTTGATTTCCATTCTATATTTATAAAATTGCCTGTGTGTACATTTAACTTCATGATTTCACAAATTAACCCTGATACTTTTTCAAATTTAATAACCATTTTATTAGGGGCTCATACAACTCATCACAATCTGTACATGCATCATTTGTGTCTAGCACATTAGTACATATGTTGACTTCATCATTCTTATAACACCCGCTTTCCACTTGAGCCCTTGGGGTC